GGGCGCGCGCGCGCGCGCGCGAGCTTGAATTAGAGAGCAGCGTGCAGTGACTGCGCGATGTAAATGAAGCGGATGATAGATGGAACGTCACGGGCGGACAAAAGAAACGCGCGCGCGCCTCTTTGCGGCCAGGGGAGAATGCGAAATACGGGAAGAAGGCGCGAAAGGGGGCACGAAATCGAGAAATGAATATCCTTTATTACGCATCACCGCCTCGCAAATTTTACACACTTGTTCTTATCCCGCTTATTCTTTCGCTCATACAAGTTTTCGCGTGCTCGCTTCGAATTGTCGAGAATATTTATCCTCTCGTTAAATCTTTCCCCTCTTAAATTTTCCGAACCGAGGGAGAGATAAAAATGAAAGAAGAAAAATTTCGTTCGTGCAAGATCCCACGACTCGAATTTCCAAGCCGACAAATTTTCTTCTCCCTTTCCTTTTCCTTCCGAAGAAAAGGAGAGGGGGAGGGAAAAAAGCCTGCTCCGTTTCTCTCCTTCGCCTTCTCGTTTGCTCTCATTTTTTTCCCACTTCCTCTCTCCTCTCCTTCGAAACGAAAAATAGAGGATTCCCGTCTAACGGGTAACTCGGCCGATAATCCAGAAGCTTGCGAGCAGGCTTGCAGTTTCGAAATCAACGGCGATAAATAAAGGCGATAAATCGGCTCGAAGCATATTTCATCGTCGCGCGATTCTATCGAGCGGCGCGGCGCGTGTTCCGTGCTGCTGCTGGTCCCGCCTCGCCTCGCCTCGATTTTACGCTCGCTATCGCCACCCTCCATCCCTGGAAAATCGAGCCCCTGATTCTTTCCCTCGAAACCGCCCCGGGACACGCTTAATCACTCTCCTCGAAGAAACCTTCGTTCTCGAGTGCGAGGGAAAGAAAGAAAAAAAAATAATAACCGACCCGTTATCTCGAATCGATAGTCGCGACGAGCGGAATAAACGAACGAAGAAGACCCCTCTCTAACCTCACGTTTCAGCGTCCAACTTGGCTCCACTTTTCAACTTGAGAGAGCAGGCAGAAAAGCGAAGAGTCGCGAAGCGGGGAAGGGGAATGGACCGCGCGGAGTCGGACCCGGATCCTCGTTGAAGGGTGGTGGTTTAACTTCACGAGCCACGTTCTTTCGTGACTTTCGTGATAATCTCGAACCCCTCCCCTCTCCTCCTTTCTCGTTACGCAAATTTGCCGAACGGCCGAGGAAACGCACGCGATCGGGGTTAAAACGGTTGTCGAGAGAGAGAGAGAGAGAGAGATGATGGAGTTTTCGGTGACACGCCACCGAATTCCGCTTTCGTTCGCGCCCTCCACTCCTTCCCTTTCCGCGCGTAGATTAAAAGGGGAACAAAGGCGGGACAAAGCGACAAAGCGAGCGTGGAGCATCGTTTCGAAGAAGAGGGAATTGGCCGAGCGGAGCTCGAGGGAGGCGTGGATGAAAACCGAGGCGACCGCGTTAATAATCGTGTTCGGGTTGGTGGCCCACCTACGGGTAATTAGGGGGCTGGGGACGAGATAAACCCTGGGTAAAAAGCCTGGGCTGCGAAAAAACGGACAGAGACGGATAAGGGGAACGATAAAGGGGAGGGTCGGCGGAGGAACCGATGCACTCTCGGGAGGCATCCGTATCACCGATTCATCGAATCGAGGAAGAAGAGGAGGAGGGGGGAATACGAATATCCTGGATTATACGTCAAAGTTTGGATGGCGAATCGATCGAGCGAAGGAGCATATTCGTCATATAACGCGTCATATAATAAGCTGCTGATTGAATCGAATAAAAATTCATTCATTTTTGATGGGGTAAAAATATAATTTTACTTTTAGAGGTGAATTAATATATACGTTCAACGTGTCTTTAATGATTATTAACGTTACAGATATGCGTTTTTGATATGGATTTATCTTTAGGAGTCGAATTTGAAATTTAACGCATAAAATATTACGATAAATAAAAATGCATTCTTTCGCACAAGGGAAAAATAAATGTTCTTGTAAAAGCGAAGATGGAAAGAATTGGTGAAGGAATATAAGATTCTCGCGACAAGGATATATATACAACACCGTTATTATAAACTTGCCCCCTCGATAAACGGTACGCGTGTTAAACGCGTTTAAAAAGGTGAAAACACGGAAACGGATAAGGGATGGAAGGAAGATAGAGCGAAGGGGAGGAGGTGGGAGTCGCTATCATCGCACGTCGCGATATATATCCAGGTTGGCCAAGAATTTTATAGGAGATGGGAAGGGGATAGCCGGTTGGCGCCGTATAACTCGGCAGCGATACGCGGAATTTCATTTTTACGTCGGCCCATATATTTCCTCCCCGCGGACGTATCTGGTTTCGATCATCGCCCGCACACACGCTGTCCCCTCCCCCTCCGTTCGTTTATCATTAGCACGCGACTTTTTATTACACCCGTTATCTTTTTAATTCGTACCGACCAATCTCTATTACCTCCCTCCCCTCTCTTCCTCCCCTCCGCGCTCGAGATCGAAACGAGGTTCGAAGGGCGAGCACCACCGTTCTCACCTTTGGGCGGGTTGACGTGCAACGCCGATCTGTACAAACTCTCCTCGTCGAACCAGTCGGTGTTCCT